CCTATGACCAGTTAAATATCACATGACAAAATCGCCAATCAGAATACTAAACCAATGATACGTCAAGCAACACTACATAGCCTTGACTCAACTCTGAGCCCCTATTGGTCCTCTGTTTAGTAATTTCTTGCTTAACCTAACCCGTTTAGTCTAGAACACAGATATCAGCCTCCGCTATATGAATCATATATTTCAGATATATGTAGTTTATATACACACAGACCACAACCCATCACAACGTGAAATGAAGAATAATAATTACATAAAATCAAACCAAAAGTGCCTTATATTGTAACTAATAAATTGGAAATAAATTAAGAATGGTAAATAGTATAACAGTAGCCAATAGATCAAATTTATTTTTATTTATTTTAACATATGGATATTGGTACAAAGTGGCACCAAATAAATATGCGCCACACGAATCTCATTTGATATGTGTGAGGGCTGTGATACTGCCCTGGTGCCCAAACCGAAGCAGGTGGTTTTCTTAGGGGGCCACACCCCGAGCCTTGAACCTAAAGGTCTGACCCACAAAGCAGTAGGGCATCGTAAGGAGATGCAGTCCCATGGTAGCCGGTGACCGAAAATTGATTCATACGCCATTTGTTCACTCAGGATACTGGAGCCCATGTGCACCATTGTTTTGGAATCCAGTTAGAGCGCCGGACATTCGCTTTTCGTCCTCCCATTTTCGTAAACAACACCCACTCCACACGAAAGCAATGAGTAGGACTTCCCTGGCAGAGGCTGTATACGCGCGGCCGCGTGAGAGTGTTTCGAGAGGGAGAGCGGACTCTCCCCACTCTCGGCCGTACCAGGGCATTTGGGGGCCAATAGAGCAAATGGAAGCTTATGATAAAAGGAATATATATATAATCTAGTTACTTAATTGTTATCTAATAAATGTGTATATAATAACAGTTCATAAATAACTCCTAACAGATATCATTCATTTGTTCTTCATTCGAATATAACACCTACTTGAACATATAATCGAATTTTTAAGAGAAGAAAAAAAGATTACTGTCGAATCTTCCAAAAATTTAACAACGATCTAATGCAGATTTATCGATCATCCACATCTCACATTAAATTAGAATAATTGAATTCATTAAATTTTTAATTCTATTTTAATATCTAGTTCAACGACATTTTGATCATGTCTTATTTTGAGAAGAATTCGATCTTGAACCGCCTCCTTTTTTTTTCTTCTTAATTTTGTTTAATTTTACAAATATATATATAAAAAAACACAACTGGAATCAGTACAACACTAATATGATGATGATGAGTGTTAGATTTGGTTTATATAGTTAATTAAAATGAATCAATAATAAGCACATTATCATCATAATAGATGCTTTTTAGATTTATTTAGCCTTATTACACTGATATAATTGAATTGTATATACTGTCTTATCTATTCTTTATTATTTTTTCTATATTATTCTTTTTCAGTAAAACAAAATTATTTCAATTTTTTCTCTTTTTTTTGTTGGTTTTAATAATTTCCATTTTTATCTGATTATTATTATTATTATTATTATTATTATTATTATTATTTTTCAAGGGTGTACATAATGTTTATACTCTGTGTTTCTATGTGTGTTCGTGTGTGTGCGTGCGTGTGTGTGTGTGCATGTGTGCAAATGTCTATATAGTTTCTTTCAACCCTCTGGATATTATTGTATGTATCAGTCGGCTTTCTTACGTATTGCTCAGCTTTTCATTGCATATTAAATATTCTATGCATGATATATATACATATATGGCTATTAAGAATTATGTGTACATGCACTCATCTATATTTAGTTTTATTATAGTTGGTGTTTTTCTAACTTCTTTCTGTTAAAACTCAGTATTGATAATGGTGTTGTTGTACGAGATGAAATGTTACCATGATTATTCATTTTCTCCATTTTTCTCTCCTTTGCATTTGCAACATATAAATTTCAAGGGTTATATATATATATATATATATATATATATATAAATATATATATATATATATATATATATATATATATATATATATATATATACCTTTGATTCATATCGTTGCGATCAGTAAAATAAATTAACACTTTAATAACTCTTGAATTGTTACCATAGGGAATTAGTGAAGATCAATAACTGTCTTATCATGTTATGGGGCTCTTCAACAGCGCACATATTTTCCCACGGGATCGGACGCAGTACTTTTAACTAGTTCGCAGTATTGTACAACCACTTTTCAATGGGATCGGTGGGTAATAACTGCCTTATACCCGGCATGGTTAAGCTCCATTGGTCATTGGTTCTTCCCTTAGTAGGGTCTTAAATAAACACTGATGAGGAGTCCCACACTAGGACGTAATAATTTTCCAGTAATTTCTGGTTTTAAATAGCTGTCTGACTAAGATTAGTTCATAATGTAAACTATGAATATTCTTGTTGATTTGTTCCATTACATCTAGTACTCGAGGTAACGAAATAGACTTTGTTATCTTGATTACTTAAGATAACACCTAAACTGAGATCAGATGGCTGCTTAGGCACTGAGGATGGCTGTTTGATATAAAATTACTGGATGGTTGTAGGTTGTCGGCAGGATACTCTGCTCAACCTAGCTTCCTTGTTAGTTGGTAATCATCACCAAAGCTTACCTACAATCTCGACGGAACTAATACTGCTCAGTAAATCTCAACTCATGTCACCCAGCTTCCCAGTCTGTGCTGTTCATGTTGCTACTGAATTTTTTATAGGACCGAAATACTTACAATTGACTGAATATTTAGTAATGACTAATGTCATATTTGTCTAATCTTTCAGTGTTGATTGTATTCCATTGAATTAGCACTAATCCTAGGTTGAGGGTTCCCTGCCGATTACTTCCAACCACCTAACACCTCAACATAATGCACGCAATCTTGAGTCAACTAGACCGATAGAATCTGATCAATATGACAATATGACATTGGTCACTATTCAGCGACCATTCAGTGGTATATATGTTACCTAATAACCTAGTTATTTCTGTTTCCGATGGTTGGTTATTCGGTTAGATAAATGTACCTAGTGGAGTAGCGGTTTAGTGGTTATAAATCGTCCATGCTTTAACCACCTGAGAATTGGAGTGATTCAAAGAGTACCTCACCTAAGTTGGGTTCAGCTTTTTTAATCAATGACTAAAGTGTTCAACTTTTAGTCAATAAATCCTAGACTCAAACCTCGTTCAAAATACTTCTGTCTACGCAACTAGTTAGTATCTCTAGCTCTCACATTTAAAACCATGAGCATAATTATGTACCTGATAACTAGGTAAATGAGTATCCGTTAGCTTTCATATTTTTCATCACTATAGAGTGAAAGGGATAATGATGAACGTATCGAATGCTTAATTGTATCACTGTAGATTGTATATAACGGGGAAATAGACACTATTCCTATATCTGAATCATAACCCCTTAATATTGAAATAAACTTAAGCCAATTGGCAATTTATTTTATGGACAAACTAATAATTTTATGCCTCTTGGATTTTTGCTCAGAATTTATTTGTCCACACGTCTACAGATGGGCTAAGAAGTAAATGAAAACTTGTCACCGTTATTTTCTTAGTTCATCCATGTATTATACTCTCACTAAAGTCATCTTAGTGTAGTTTTTCGTGAATATATTTTTGGTTAATATTATCACAGGAAGTTTTCGTGGAAAATATTCACTTTTTAGACCAACACCTTCAGACCGGAGACAGTCTTTAAAACTACGAACACACTGTACAGGTGCTTTGTCCTAGTATACGACTTATCATCAATGTATATCCGCGACCAGACCAATGTCTTAACGGAAAATTTAGCCATCTAGCTTATAGAATTCGTCAACGTCATAATTCCATACTTACACATTACACTGTATGCAGATTGAAGTTTTGACAATGATGCTGTGATGCTTTCTTTCTCTTGAGCAACATTTAATTAAACATCCAAAATAAGATGTTACACTACTGGTTACGGTACTTTTAAATAGGTTCTGTGTTATAACCACATCATGTTAATTACTTTTGAAACCTTACTATTTATTTTTACTCTTATTACTACCATTGTTCATTAGCAGCTATTAACTGTAGACATTTGTGTTTGTCTAAACTCTCTTTGTTAGTATCTCTTGTTAACAGAATTTGTTCGTGCTTTCTTTTTTTGTTCATTCAATTGTTAATTCTTGATAATTAACTTCAGAAGGGGTTTGTGGAGATTTTAAAAATTTCACTGATTGAAATCATGAGTCAATTGGAGCTAGACCATGATGGAAAACCTGGAAGCACTGGACGGCCGTTTCGCCCTAGTACGAAACTCTCCAGCAGTGCGCATCCACGACCCCGCACCCCGTGAGATTCGAACCCAGGACCTATCAGTCTCGCGCCAGGCGCCTAACCAACTAGACCACTGAGACAGCCGGTATCCAATGGTGTTATTGTCTAACTTCAACCAATCCACGAAGTTGTGCCACCGTATACCATAGTCTTCAGTGAGCGGGGTGTGTGATCGTGGATGCGCACTGCTGAGGAGTCCCATGGTAGGACGAAACGGCCGTCCAGTGCTTTCAGGTTTTCCATGATGGTCTAGCTTCAATTGACTCATGATTTCAATCTGTGGAATTATTTAACTTATCTAATGAAAATGTCTGTTTGTCTGATCCATTTATTTACTCATCCGATCAGTTGTGTTATTGGATAATTTTTTTTAACAAACTTCTTCTAGTATATGATGTTATGCATGTAAACTACTACACCAATGTGTTTGTTGTCATTATATCTATGTGTGTACATATATATATACGTATTGTGTAATGTTATGCCTATAAACTACTACACCAATGTATTATGTAACTTCATTATTATTCTATTTAATTTTCACATAATCATATCGTTTCTTTTCGCACTCAGATAACAATCTTTAGCTTAATCATTCATTTTTCCTTGTTATATAATAATTTATTATTTATTTATTTTTCCATAGGCTCCAATGCGACTAAAACTAATTCACGTACTGACTCATCTTATTCATCAAGACGACATACAAATTCTCGTAATCCTACTTCTACTGGACATCAATCAAAAAATTCACGTGACAGTTCATTAGTTGTTCCACATTCTACAACAACGAGTACAACAGCAAAAACTCGTTTAAAAAGTCCTCAAAGTGTTCGATTAAGTTCATCATCAACTACTTTAAATAATCAAGCGGTTGGTGTTAGCGGTGGAACAAATCAAACAAGGTGTTTATTTTGATTATTACTTTGGTTATTATATTATTAAACAGTGGAATTTATTTTAGATTGATTGATTATTGGTTTACTTCATGCAAATTCATTGTTTGTTTATCTAAGAATCTATGTTTATATTTCATAGGTAAAAAAAGCATCTTGTTATTATAGGCTGTATTGAAAATGGTTAGATTTTAAGTTTCAACTCATGAATCGGCTTCAGTTGGACAATTTTAACTCTAACCCTATTCTAGTATGGAATTCCTTTAGCATGACCATCTCACTAGGTGTCGAATTCAGTCTGTGATGTGAAGATTTAAATTTAGTAACATCCAAAACTACAATCATTATATGCTTACTGGTAAGTAGTTTCAAAACGTAGTTCCTAAACTTCTAGTGAGAAGCCGTGACCAGTAGAGTTCCACCATGTTGAGGGATGTGAAATATCACCAATGACAATGAATGATGGTCGTACGACATCACGAAATGACTAAAATTATAAATACAGACTGTTATTTATTATCTCAGTATGAAGTCTCTTCCAGGAGTGTGGACCTACGTTTGCATCATGGATAGGACTCTCAGGGCCTTCAGCAACTGTTGGAGGGTCATCATCTGACTTTTAGGTGTTTTCTACTCGGATGAAATATCTATCTAAGTACACTATAGTTTTCAACGATTATCTAGCTTAAAGTCAGTTTGTGATTCAAGCTAAAAACTTTTTATGATCATGGCAATTACAACAATATTAAAAACTTCTGATCAATTTACCTATTTTAGACACTTCTTTATGTCCATTTAATCGTTGGGGAAGTAACTAACATGCCACTTTCTCTAATTTAACATACCAGTTAATATTATCAACGCTATATTCGATTGATATGTTTCACACAAAAACATACACACACTTCCACGGACCTCTGTATGTATACTGGATTGTTAAAACTCAATTGCCACTATCTGTAAGGAGTTTATATTTTCCCGTTTCTGATTTTAAGGACGGCAACCGATCAGTCTCTTGTCATACATGCATCTTGAGCGCATTATCCTGGTATTGTTATCAAGCCACAATTCTTTGAATAAATTAGGATAGTGGCTAGTAATGAAACCAAGGAGGCGTGTTTTGTCCTGTTTAGGACTATTCAGATGGATGGACATCAGTCCCAGTGTTGATATCCACACTGAGACTACTTTAGTCAGTGGTTCCTTGGTTATCTATTAAAATTCAGTTTCCACTAGCTGATATGGTTTATTTAGAAGAGTAATATTGTAGTTTACTATCATACAATTTGATTGTTTATGCTTCAATCTACGTAACACGTAATCCTGCATATAATTTCACAATATTAGTTCTGATTACGCAAAATTTGTATGTATATAAGTAGTATTTATAAGTCCTCATGAGCGGAGTCCCTAAGAGTAATTTCAATGTCCCTTAATGTTGAACAGTTACTGAAATGATGTACTTTTGTGAGGAAAATTTCACTGCAAGTTCTAAAATACTCTTCATTTTCAATAATACTATAGATAGAAATTTTAATTTATCAATTTAGTTAAATATTTATTATATTTGAAACTTCTTCATAGTTAGTATACCTGTGAGACTTTTTTTATTGACATAACTACCAAGTGTTTAAGTTAGTAGTAGTAGTGTTAGTAGTATATATATATTTGTGTTTATTATTAATTATTGGTTAGACGAAATCGGATTACTAGCGCTAGTTCAGAGGATAGACAATTTAATAATTTCAATAATAATAAACATGAAGGTGACAATAAAACTTTATCTATGTATGAATATAATGATATGATAATGTCACGACAAAGTGAACCCATTACTTACCAACAAAAATCATCCACTTTAAAATCGAATACATCTTCACGATATTATGAAGCTTCTAATGGACCATCTGGTTATACAGTATTTTGGAGATCAGCTTATGATGGTGAATTAGATGATATATATCGAATGAATCATTGTCAAAGTCCTACAAGTCAACAACATTCTGTATCTATGTCTTCATCATTTCGAAAAAATCATACAGTTGCTCCACCTCCACCACCACCACCTGCTCTCCCACCATCATCTTTATGTATACCGCCAAATCTTGTTCGTCGTGGTCGTCCATCCTCTGGACCATCTTCTTCAATATATTATTGTGCTAATGATTCAGATGATCGTTCTGTACATTTAACATCAACTGGTCGTTCTCTTCATCCTACTGCTTGGAAACCTGGTGGAGTAGCAATATGTCCTACAAATCGAGAAACGATTCCATCAGTGAATAAACCATCATGTATACCCAAATTTCATGATGATGAGCAAGTCAAGATCTACCACATATTCTTATAATATGTTTTGGTGTGATTTAAGCATTTTTTTTAATTTAATACTTTTAGTTATAATTATTGTTTTTGTGACTAACAATCTCACTTATTTCATAAATTCCATCGAAAAAAGAAGTATTAAGTATTCAATAACTATCAAATTTTTTATTCACAATACATAAACTGTAATACACTAAATGTTTAACACTACACTGGTGCTTTGTATATGTCGTTACTATTTATAATTGCACTTATAGAAAGGGAGATACGTTGTGTATAGTTACGTAACATTTTCATTTTATTTTCAGTTTTTATCACTTATTTACAGTCGTTTATTTTCCATTTGGATAAACCTTTGATTGATACTTTGTTTCCTACTCTTTTTTTTCTTCCGTAAATCTTTTAGCTCCAAGGAAACTACTTATTTACCAGGTAACTAATAATATTTTCAGTTTAATGAGTTTGTTTCAATTTTTTTAATAATCCAATTCATTTGCTAAAGATTATTTATTCGGCTTCATGCTATGGTGTTTTAGTTTATATACAGAGGAGGGCTAGTAATATTACTCGGCTAACCGAACCGATGTTTACTGGACGGAATTTGGACCTGAATCGTTGACTGTTTTATTCACCAAGCCACTATTACACTCAGTTTTAAGTCCCTCCATATGTATAGTCTAACTGCTCATTGTATTTCTACATGTGAATAAATTTGTCACTTTGATATATCTTTCTGATACTATTAAATTGCCTATCATAAATATTCTTCTATGATGAGCACTGTGAACGATGAAGAAAGACTGTATCCTCTTGAACTCACTCGCTTACCATATCGAATCTAGACATAAAAGAACAACTGTCCAATAGGAGAGATATTGGTTCTACGTGAAAAGATTGATTTAGATGTGCCTACTACACCTTTATAAATAGAATAGAAGGTTGGATCACTAAAACCAATGCGGTGTATAGTTAACGTTGTTAAAAGAGGTAAGCTAAAAAATACAATAAACGATCAGGAAATAAATGCCAAATCTAGTTTTTTATCAAATAAATTATACAGATGTAAGCCTAGCAAGCCATTTTTAAAATGTAATCACTTGATTATTTGTAATTTAATTTTCATCTTCAACGGTAATTGACCACCGACCAATATATCATTCTTGTTTAGTCTTTATTGCTGTTCTAAATCTACTGATCATTTGACTGTAATTCGATCACCTCTGAGGATTAGGTACACATAACAATGTCTACTGTTCAGTGGTCAGCCAATGTGATATCTTAGTCCTAAAAGAGGTCGTTCACGGTTACGTTTATGTTTTTCTTCTATCACATTGGGTAAAGTGAGTCCGCATTTCTCACCAGGGACATCAGTCTACTCAAGATATCAAAATCAGAGTACTCTATTCCTTTAAAGTTTTAGTTCAACACGTTAGCAGTGGAGCAGCCAGATATAGATTTTCTGTATACGATTATGCAAGATGTCATGAATACGCATGGACTGTAAGACAGTTTTGAGCTAGAAGAACAAATTTGTTCCTGTCCACATTGATTAATCCTACTAGCTCTACAACTGTGATCAGTTTGTGATACGATTTCATTGAAATATTGAGTTAATCTTAGTTGCACAACCTTTGAAAACCTGGAAGCAGTACAAGTTCGTTTCATCTTAGTATGGGACACCTTAGCATTGTACATCCACAAGGCCACAGGCGGGATTCAAACTTAGGACCTTCAGTGTCGCTCTCGAACACTTAACCTCTAGACCACTGAGTCGGCATTCAACGGTGTTGATATCTAGCCTCAATCAATCCACGGAATTAAGCGACCATCTTCGATTGTCTTCCATGGGTAACTGCCTCACCTTATACAAATTAGCTTTACTGGTCACGGCTTCTCATAAGAAATTCGGAAATTTCCTCTCGAAGCTAGTCACTAGCTAGCACATGATGACTATCAGTATGAGGTTATAAAGATTCTTTAGTTTCATTGAAATGATGAACCGATCTATGCTAAACTACCATTGAAAACCTGGAAGCAATAGACGGTCGTTTCGTCCTGGTACGGGACTCCTCAGCAATGGCCATTTTTCTATATTGAAAATCTGATACAATTATCAATTCTCCTGTTTTATTTTCTCTCTTGCCATTCTATTTTACTTTGTATATTAAAAAAATATCTCGCTAACCAGGTGATGGAATTCTACGATTTTATATTCGTGGACGTCCAGTCAATGTTTATATGCCTACGCAAATTATGCATAATTATGATTTGTCAATTCCACTGAAAGCACCGGATATGACATTGAAATTGGAATGGATGTATCCTTTTTGTGGATTGTTTTTTTACTTTGTATTTACTTTCATAAGCCATTACACTTGAACAAATTTTCTTGAATCAAATTTTTGCCTATTAATTGTATGGACCTCAATCAGGTGGTTCGCATCCATTAAAAAATAGCTCAAATCAACGGTCAGTAGCTTCATGAACTGATGCCACATCTTGGTTTGTAGGCCCTTAGTTCTTGTTTTATACAGAACACTCAGCGAAGAAATCGTTTAAATTGTTGGCTGACTGTAGCTAGATGACTACTGGGAACCAGGGAGCACTAGAAATATTTTTCATACTAATAAGTGACTCCCCAGTAGTGGAAGATGACGTCTCAGCTAAGAGTCTATCTCAACATATTTAGTTCTCCCAGTGAGCACGATATGTTTAAACCATATGGGGTTTTCCACGTTTCACGACACTGCGCAACCATTATCCATTACGATTGATTTTGCCTCTATGACATCTGAAACTCTGCTAGTCATATCTCGCTTATAATTTGAGAATTTTCGTCGAAATCAGTCTCTATTGAACAAATGATTACCACTATTTACTAGAATAGGTGGTTTGTGAAGATGTTTAACTCCTTTTTTCAAAAAGTATTTTTCACTGTAATATCATTCGAACTAAAATATTCTCCTTAATTATCATCCTAATAATTTGTTACGTCATCATCATAATCTCTATTTAGTTATGGTTATCGTGGGCGAGACTGTCGAAATAATTTACATTATCTTCCAACTGGAGAGTTAATTTATTTTGTTGCAGCTGTTGTAGTATTGTATAATATTGAAGAGCAATGTCAAAGACATTATTTGGAACATACTGATGATGTAAAATGGTATGTGTTATTTTTTCCTTTGAAAAAAAGTTAATTTCATAATTTACGTCATGGACTTATCTTAGATAACTAATGAAAACTAAAAAGTACTGAAAAAAGTTTTCTCTCTTGATATAAAACTCCTCAACAATCCAAATCTACAATGTCGATTCAATGGCCTAAATCCTAAGTGTTTTCCACGAAACTTAAAGTTCCTGTTTGTAATCTCTGGATCGATCTTGGATGTACATTGCTGAATAGTTCCATAATAGGATAAAATAATCTCCAAGTGATTCTTCGTTTTCAGTGGTTATCTAACTAAGATTAGTTCGTAATGTAAAATATAAAATTTCAGCAATTTCCCCAATAATCCCTACAGTGAAAAAAGTACATTTACAATCATTATATATTATAATGTTATTTTAAAAAAATTATGTAATGGTCGATATATTTTTCGATGTACTATTATGCAACAACACACACTATTATAAAGTGTAAACTAATCATTTACGAGCGTTTACATGCTAGACCTAAGGTCCTGGGTTGAAGTCTCGAGTGCAGGGTCGTGGATATGCATTTCTCAGTAGTCCCGTCCAGGGACAAAACGGCCATCCAGGGATTCCTAGTTTTTAATGGTGGTCTAGCTTAGATGAACTCATGAATTCAACTGTGAAAATACTAATTATTGTTCAATACACTTATTCATTTTTACTTGATCACTCATTTATTCGAAGTAATCAGTTTTACTGTCCAATTCTTGTTCATGTTAATTATATAATACTCTTCCATTGGGCTATTAAACAGCATATTTCACAGTTTGCTTTACAGACTGATGTTAGTGAAACAATCAAATACGAAAAAAAGATTAATTCAGCGAAGAGTTCTTTTTTCGGCGAATTAACCGAAAAGAGAACTCTTCGCTGAACTAATCTTTCTTATTTAATGTCATAATGAGTGTATTCCGTTTATTAGTGAAACAATCGTTAAAAACTAGAAAATGATAAACAGCTGTTTCGTTCTTTTATGTTTTTCACCAACTAGGCATCTACAACTCCTTTTAGTGATCGTACTTAGGATATTGAGGCCTTGCAGTGAGCATTTAACCTTTAGACCCTTAAGTTGGAATCTGATGGTGTGTGTGTGTAAATTCAATCAATTTACCATTTTTTGTAGGCATCTTCCAATGCCATTGGTCAGTAGCTATCTCATACCCAATATGGTTGAACTAGACTGATCACTATTTCTCACTAAAACTCTTAAAAAATTACCTCTTGAAATTAGACACTGACGACCATATGATTACTATTAGTACGCGGGTCCTAATCACTGATTTTTTTGTAGTTATACATTTTCTAGAAATTTAGTCATTTATTCACTAAGAAATCAAATGTATGACTGGTCTATATGTGCAGTTTTGGTTATCAGTGTAGTTTTATCAAACGTTCCATACAAAAATGTCATAGATCATACTTTAGTACAGTGTTGTGACTTTATGTCCGGCTTTTTATCACGTGATTTATCCACCAATCAAAATATGACTTATACACTCTTAGCACTGTGCCAAAACATTGACGTTCGACCGGTATGGGCAGCCTATCGTCCTTATTGGTCTTATGTCCGCCTAGCCCGTCCATTTGAGTCCAGAACACCAATACCAGCTTCCACTATGCAAATCGGATCGAATTATTTATTTCAGACATACTCGGTTTGTATATCAACCAGACAGACCGCAGCGCACCACAAAATAGGAAATAACATTTGTATACAATAAAGCCAAAAAGTGATTGTGAACGTGGGAGGCAGTAGTCAATAAACTGAACATAGCTTAAGAACAGTAAATCGTACAATAATAAATTATAGGTTAAAATAACGCTTATAATAAGAGGAATATAAATATACATAATCTTATTATTGAATAGTTATACCATAAGAATGTATAGATAATATTAGTCAATTAATATGTCTCAGAAGTTACTCGTCATTTAATCTTCGCTTGGATATTACGTACAGCAGTAGTTAAGTTATTAAAAGTGAGCTCTGACACGAACCAATATCAACTGCCAATCATTCAGTCACAATTAATGTAGAACATGACACACGTACGTCTCCATAGGTTGCCATATCATGTTATATCGACAGGATAGAGATAAATATCTGTTAAGCTAAGACAATATAGCTGCAAGGATAATGAAGGAGACTAAAGATTGAGAATATGGTTTGAAAAGCTAGGGTGAAAAGATATATATTAAGGAGGAGTCTTGCAACTCATAATCTCAAGTAAGATAAAGAGAGGAGTTATCTTCACCATTGTGATCTTTCCTAAACCATATCACTCAACATCTTAGGTACTGGTCACAGTTACACGTTTCTCGACCAAGAAGTCTGCACCTACCAATATGAATAAAACTAATAGTCGATAACATCATGGACTGATAGAATGTTTTGGTATGGTTAACCATAGCTTTCAACCAACTTACACTTACAGCACCTAACATCAAACATTGGGGGAATCGGCGTTTGGGCATTCGTGACATATGCGTCAACCTTCTCATTGAATAAAGATCTACAACCTCGTTAACTTTGACATTTTTTACATTACTGGTCCCTTGATAGTTTTATGAAACGCAAGCATGTAGCCTACGCATGTCTTCTACATTCCAAGACTGTCTTTCACGGTCACAAAGTAGAAGAAAGTAGGTTTCTACTTAGTATACCCCTTTTTTTCGATAGGGAAATCTTACCTACACCACAAATGATTCAAGTTGACAAAGGTTAACTGAGCTTTCAGAATCCATATCAAAATTTCTACAGACATCAACATAAGTTTTAGAACCAGTAAATACTAAAAACAGTTGCTCAACTGTTTCATCTTAGCTTCCAATTACTTTACGATGCTTACTCATTTTGTCATGTGGAACCAAATCAAAAATATTTTCATATATCATACTAACTGATCGAGTTGCTACTTAATGGTTAAATCAATTAACTTTTAATTCATTGAAATACAAATTCAAACATGATCTCACTTCAGCCTAGTCAACTAAAGTAGAGTATCATATACTCTCTCCCACATATAAAAGAATGTAATTCAAGGCTATTTATACAAACAATATACCATTTAGCAACTGAATTAAATCAATTCAATTCAATTAATTAATTGTAAAGATAACAGTTTTACCTAACGATTTTATTCTCTATCTTAAAACTTCTTTATATCAACAAGAAAATAAGAAGGAACCGATCAATAAAATGTATGGTGATTTTCTTCTTTTTTCTTCTTTCCTGAAAACAGATGAAATAATGTTTTTCTTTGGTTCTACTTTTAAATTTAATACTTTTAGAAATTATAAATAAGCTTGAGTGGTTCGTTCTTCTCTTTTCATAATTGATTTCTTATTTATGTTTGTGTGTGTGTGTTTTTGGATATTGGTTGGGGTTAGTTTGTCTGGTTATGTATTTTTTTGAGAATTTGGCATAATAAAAAATTTCACAGATTGAAATCATGAGTCATTTGAAGCTAAAATCTCCACAAACCCCTTCTGATAATAATCATCTGCTCAATAGTGACTGACTTCAAGAGATACTCTTGGAGTTCTAGTGAGAAGCCGTTACTAGTGGAGTTCAATCAAGTCTGTTGTGAGATATCAACTCACTGAAGACAATGGTGTATGGTGGAGTAACTTCGTCGATTGGTTGAAGTTAGACATTAACACCATTGAATGCCGGCTGTCTCAGTGGTCTAGTTGGTTAAGCGCCTGACACGAGACTGTTAGGTCTTGGGTTCGGATCTCGCGGGATGCGGGGTCGTGGATGCGCATTTCTAAAGAGTCCCGTGCTAGGACGAAACGGCCGTCCAGTGTTTCCAGGTTTTCCATCATGGTCTAGCTTCAATTGACTCATGATTTCAATCAGTGAAATTTTTAAAATCTCCACAAACCCTTATTGATAATAAAATTTGACAGTTGATCTATTCTGATCTTTTCTCGGATCAGTTAATCTTGATAAATGTATTGATACAATTATGTAGGTTGTTTAGATTATGATAATTTTTAATATTTCAATAGATTTTATTAAAAAAATAGTTAGCAGATCAGATTGAGGCTGATGGAAAATACCAGTTAGTTAGCTCAAAAGGCACTTATAAATAATTGTAATTTCTTTACTATGTATAAATATATGTAATGGGTTTTGAACTAATTTTTTTGTACTTATGAGTTACTAATACTGTATAACCACCTAAATTTAATTAAATGAAATGGGGTTCGAACTGAAAATCTTATAATTGAGATCCAAATGCTTTCTGGAGTGGTAGGATTCGTCTAATTCATATCTGTGTCATAACATCGACTGTTTTCTGATTGATTTTTATCGCTTTTAGCTTGTTAATTTTGTTTTGTCTCAAAGTTATAAGATTTACTGTGTATAGAGAGTTGTTTTATTTTAATTTTTCTCTTCTGTTCAAAATATAAAACTATCTTGAAAGTCCCGTTTTCCCTATCTGTTATTAGTGTGACAGATTTTATTTTATCAAGTCCGTCATAGAACCTGTTCGTATTAAAATAAGCTTAATCATTCTGTGATTAGCGATTACCATAAGTCCTAACTGAAACAGAATTTCAAGAATATGACAAATTCTTACAAAGTTTGTTTAGCTAAATGAAATGGAAACTAACGACAACTTGTTGAAACATAAGAGATAAGAATCTGATCGTTTACAAAACAGTAATTACCATTCTCAGTCAATTATACTGCACTAGAGGAATTCATCTATAGTTGGCAAACAACGCTTTATAACAGGATAAAATAACGTTGGATAGAATGCTATAAATACCCTCGATTTTCTGTACATATACTAACCTTGGAACAAGTGTTGTTTACACATTTCGCTTCTTTTCTCTCGTGTTGAAGTTGTTGTGTAGATTTAGTCTTGGGTTATTAGAAGAGCTTAGGAAACTAATTCAAGCGTTCACTTAGAAGATTTATCAGTTTAATTTAATAACTTCGAATAAATTGAACATTAT